TTTGATGTGTCAATATTTACTTACTCTTTAAACTTTTATTGACAATAATTTTAAGTAACTTTACTTATAAAAATATTTATGACAGCAGTTATTTCTCGATTTGCTTGTTGGTACACGCGAGCACATGTGTAACGCAAGTTGCATCGGTAACTGAACATGTGGCCGGTTACTAGGCAATCATAAAATTACTGTACCAGTAGCTAAATTCATAAAATTTAATTATAAATAAGTTTTTTTGTTAACTAAGTTCATTCTTATAATTATTCTTTACCATTTTTGGATTATATAACGTAATGCTTATGAGATAAAAACAATAAAATGTAGGAGAGGTAGGGACTCATTAGGAACAACATAAACGTGTGCATCAACCTCCTTTACTTTATCAGAAGAGATATCTACCGTAGTGGAGCCAATAATATTTAATCTAGTTTTATTTATTCCACAAACTTTCCTTTCTTTATCGGTATAGTCAATAAAACAACTAGGGATCATTTTTTCTTTTACAAAGCTAATCGGGCTCTCTGTGTCAATTAAAGCATCTACTACTACTTCGTATTTCGTTTGAGAACTATTAAACTTTAAAGTAGCTTCACTCTGAAAGTCATTAGTAGCTTCCGCGGTATGCAGAAAATTAACCTGTTCTACATTTACTTTACCCGTACAATTGCCAATCATATGACCCTTCTCTCCACACTTAAAACAAGCGTCTTTTTCACGCTTCGGTAGCTTACAGTCTCTGGACATGTGACCGAATTTGCTGCAATTGTAGCACCGGGTTTTCGCCTGCATCATACTGGAACTCTCTGCTATTTCTTTCTTCAGTGATGCCTCTTTTTTCAGTGATGTTTCATTCTTCACCTGGAGTCGTCCCTCCTTGGAGCTTTTGCTCCATATCCTGCAATCTTGTTCTGAACGGTTCTTGGTCCCCAACAGATCAATATTTTCCAAAGCAGTCAATAGCTCGGCCTTAGAATTGTTGCAGCCGTGCTTGATTACGCAATTGCGTACTCGTTATTCCTTCCACTAGATATTTTGTTAATTCTTCCTCCTCTATCGGGACTCTGTTCGCCAAAATAATTTTCTCGTGGAAGTATGCACTAAAACTTTCTCCCGTCTTCCAAACTCGCTCTTCGAATTGTTTACGCCACTTTAATATACTTTGTTGCTGGTCGAACATCTTCTTCATTTCCATCAATATCTCGTCTACACTCAATCCGATGTGTTCGGGGCGCGAATGGAACCATTCTAGTGCTCTTCCCTTGAGCCTCGTTCCCAGCAACACCTTTGCATTATTCGTGTCCAGTCGATAAGTTAGCACGAGTAATCATAGTTGCTTTTCCCAATTTTGGAATAGACCCTCGGTTCCGTCGAACTCACTCAATAGCTCGCTCACTGTTCTAACATTGATTTTCGGTTGCGTTTCCAGCCTAATTTCACCGACGCTCG